CGACTTCATTTGTCCTTTTCTTTTATCCATGTTTTTTTTTTTTTTTCTAATACCTTCAATATATGAGCATAGGCAGCGAGACATCTATAGCGACCGTCACAGCTTAACTTCAAGGCGCCGATATGACGGACGATAAGATAGGGCGAAAAGAGTTCCATGGCGCGCGCGACGGAACCCTCTGCCAGAAGTCAGTTTGCAGGGCGCGTCCCCTCCAATCTGATCACGGGAAGTCAGCTCCCTTTTGATAGGACAAAATAACAGCGACGCGTCAGGGAAAGAAAACGGGGAGAGGAAGCAAGACCACATGTGAGAAAAGAGGGGAGAGGTTACCTCGTCCCTAACCACCCTACGAGTGATGGCAGGCCTACACACCCAAACAAACACCATGGAATTCCTCACGGCGCAAGCAGTGAGCCAATTCGTGAACACTAGCGACGCGACCAGTGACTACAGTAATACAGGCGAAGTGCAGACCTGGTCTCTCGTACTGGCAATGGTTGTGACTTTCACAGTGATGGTTATTGGATCTCTCGGAAACCTGCTCACGCTTGTCACCCTCGCGCACCAGTTCTGCATGCCCGTTCAACTTAGGTGAGTCTGGGGTTTAATACTATAGAAAACGAGAGGAAAGACAAAGCTGAAGAAGGGGAAATGGGGGGGAAAAAAAGTTTAGCAACGCATTTCTCTTCGCATTCTCATACACTCTTTGTGTAAGAGGAAATTATGTTTCTCTCTCTACCTCACATACACACGTTATCATATCTGTATCCAAAATCTATCGATCTATATGTACAGATACGCTTGCGCTCGTTCATGTGTGTATTAGACAACATGTATTAGTGTAAATTAGACAATCATTAAAAAAAAAATCTTTATATGCTATGTGGCACAAAACTTATTTATTATTATTTCCATAAACTATTACTCATTATGATTATAATCACCCGTCTACGATTCCTCATGGTAAAACATGCCATGCAAACTCCGTAGAAAATATATTCTCCCTCAACACAAACGGCCGGTGGGTTAAAATTGACCCAATGACCACGGATACTTGTAGGTTTTTGTGAATTTGTTACATACAGATGGCGCCACATGTGCTCAGCCAGCAAGGAGTCTATTAGTAGGACCTTGTGACCGATGCTGATTTCCCCATTCCTTGAAATTGCGGAAAAGTGTGTGTTTTTTCTTTGTAATGCTATTGATGTCGATACTGTTATTAGTATCACTGTTGATATTATAGTTGTAAACGTGTTATTAAATTCTTGGTAACATTACAGACAGTGAAATAATACGAAAAGAAACTTTCCAAAAACAAGGAAAAGGGTAAACAGGTGAGACAGGTAGGGCAAATAACTTGGTGACTAAGCACTTGTAGAGCTATCTATGTGTAAATACTATAAATAAACTTATATTACAGAGGGCATGGCATGTTTTCTTGCCATCCGTGCCGACTGGGCTAAGTTAATATGCAAGATGCTCATGTGTATATACTAATAAGAGAGAAAGAGTTTATATTGGCATGCATACCCACGGAAACAAATGCATATCCATCAGTCTAGATAGATACCTACATATATATTAAATAGACAGGTATGCATGTCCATATATATATGTGTGTGTGTGTGTGTGTATGTGTGTATGTGTGTGTGTGTGTGTGTGTGTGTGTGTGTGTGTGTGTGTGTGTGTGTGTGTGTGTGTGTGTGTGTGTGTGTGTGTGTGTAGGTATGCAGGTATGTTGTTAGGCCTCTCGCAATTTCAACACGCCGATCACAAGTTACATCCAACACAACTTTTTTATTTTTATTCCACAGGTGCATCAAATACATGACACCTGACACTGTGCTCATCATTAACCTGGCACTTGCAGATTTTCTATACTCGGCTGTCAACCTACCTTTTCTGTTCGTTACTTATTACACTATATATAAGGTAAGGGTGAGATATTATTATTATTTCGTGGCTTTATGATTTGAACAAAGTGTAGATTCAGGTACAGGAGTTCACTTCATTAAATACAAAATATATTACAGTTAAATTAATAATAGGTTACATTAGTAAATTCCCCTTCATAATAATACGACTGAGGCCTAGTTTAGTATATACGTCCCAATTAAAGATTCAAAAGCCATATAGGCATAAACACCAATTCAAATTTCTTACCAGTCTTACAATAATCCACAATAATTCACACAACCAAAACTAAAACACATGTATACATATATATCTTTTTCTTCTTCTTCTTCTTTCCATTCATTTACTAAACCTGTCGTATTTCTCTCTTTTTTTTTATCAAAGGGTAACATCTCAAGGAACCCCACAGTGCCTTGGGAGAGTGACATGGGTGCCTGCAGAGTCTCAGCTTTTCTCAGATACACCAATGCTTTCTCAGAATGGATGAGTTTGGGTCTCATGGCCTTAGAGAGGTAAGATTAGCAGCATGGTAAATAAATAAAGGATTGATATAGGATTGGGTGAATAAATGAATTAATGAATATGATTGGGTGAATTAATGAATAGGATTGGGTGAATAGATGAATTAATGAATAGGATTGGGTGAATTAATGAATATGATTGGGTGAATAAATGAATTGATGAATATGTTTGTGTGAATAAATTAATTAATGAATAGGATTGGATGAATAAATGAATTGATGAATAGGATTGGGTGAATTAATGAATAGGATTGGGTGAATAAATGAATTAATGAATATGATTGGGTGAATGAATTAATTAATGAATATGATTGGGTGAATAAATGAATTAATGAATATGATTGGGTGAATAAATGAATTAATGAATATGATTGGGTGAATAAATGAATTAATGAATGTGACTGGGTGAATAAATGAATTAATGAATATGATTGGGTGAATAAATGAATTAATGAATGTGACTGGGTGAATAAATGAATTAATGAATATGATTGGGTGAATAAATGAATTAATGAATGTGATTGGGTGAATAAATGAATTAATGAATATGATTGGGTGAATAAATGAATTAATGAATATGATTGGGTAAATTAATGATATATGTCAATGAACTAATTAAATTAATCAGTTTATAAAGAGGTGAGGTTAGAGGTATAACATGTAAGTCCTCCTCTCTCCCTCCCTCCTTCACCCCTCCCTCCCTACGTCCCCTTCCCCCTTCCCCTCCCTCCCTCTCTCTCTCTTTCTTTCTTTCTTTCTTTCTCTCTCTCTCTCTCTCTTTTTCTCTCTCTCTCTCTCTCCAATTTCTATATTTATTTCGTTTCTTCCTCTCCCGTAGGTGTATTTGCATCTACAAGTTCCGCCACAACAGTAGACGTCCAAGCAAGTGGTTTACTTGCTGGAAAACCTTTATTTATTGCATTATCATTTGGATGCTTGGTATTGCACTGCAAATGCCAACATACCTCGGGGTAAGTGGATGGATGAATCAATATTTAGGGAGAAAAAAAGTAATAAATATTGTGGTTAAATTGATCAACACGATTGATAAAGGAAAGTTGTATTCATTTAATTTAATGAATATTTAGTATATACATAATTCGTAAAAGATAAATAAATTTTGAAAAAAAATATATATATATTATTCTATCTTTGTTTTGATTTTTTTTTTCTTTTTTCTTTTTTTTAGGTGTACGGGAATTTTGGTTACAACAGCATGACCCTCAAGTGTGATTTTATGAACAGCACGAACGGAGCGAATCCGCGCGTCTTGTTTTTCACCATGGAGACTGCTATCCCCTGCATTCTCATTTTCATTGGAAACAATTTCATCTTGGTCCAAGTCTACTCAAACAACAAACGTATTCTTTCGGTTATGGGGTATGGTCTCTCTTTTTTTTTTGTTCGTTTGTTTTTTATTAAAGATTTTGTTTGATTTGATGTATATTAATGTATATTAATGAATTTTCTCTACTTATATACATTTTTACATTATTCTTTAACTGGGTCAGCAATAATATCTTGTTTACTTAATTTCTTACTCTAATTTGTTTTAATATGTTTTTGTCTAATGCATTTGGCTTACCTTTTGCAAAATGTCACACATTCTGTAATGAAGTCTTTATCTCATCCTCAGGTCGCACACATTCCAGCAGGCTCAGCTTCGCCGCAGCCGAACCACCAAAGTCATTGTTCGTCTTTTAATCGTGTTCCTCGTGTGCGTCATACCCATCTGCTTCTATAACGTCATCTTCATAAAAGACGATGCCACTTTACGTGAAACAATACCAGAACTTGGCATAGTGCTGTACTGCATCTACTTCCTGCAGTATTGCATCAACAACTTCATATACGTTGTTTGTTTTGAAAAGTTCCGTTGTGCGTACTACCAGTTCCTCTGCTTCATACTGTGTCGGAAGGTGAAGCCGTTAACGCCGGTTAAGACCCTTCCTTTGCGTCCATGCGACCAAGTCTACACGATTAGCAGACCCCACCGTCTCCAGGTACCGGAGGGGAGGTTTCCCCGCTCGCCCTCGGAGTGTGAGGAGGAGAGACGTGCTGAAAACGACCCAGAATACCAACAATGGCACATAATTTCGCCATCTAGCTCGCTCTCGTCCCAAGCCAGTATCGGTCTGGAGATTCCCGAGTCGCGCCTTGCCTCGTCGCTCCGGTCGCAGGAAAGTGTCACCTTTGAGAGCGACGTACTCGGCAGGAGGCACACCTTCGGGAGTCTAAGTGTGTGCTCGTCCACTGCCACTCTGGTCCTGCCCGCTGCGAGGAAAGTCTCCCTCAAGAAAAAGCTCAAGAGGACTTTTTCCAGATGAGGGTTAGCACTTTGGGTCATGACGAGAAACATGGTCCACTTTCAAAACGGCTGCAGTGTACGGCCTTATGCTGTGTATGTCTTTCTGTATATTTGAATATATATATATATATATATATATATATATATATATATATATATATATATATATATATATTTGTTGCCAGTTATTAAGTTATCTTTCATTGTATATAGTTACAATAATTTATACTTTCAATCATGGAATGTGTTATCTTTTATATGCCACCTCATTTACAAATATATGGCAACTGTTCACATATATGTGTCTTTTTGTACGTATACATGTGTGTTTGTATATATATATATATATATATATATATATATATATGTATGTATGTATATGTATGTATATATATATATATATAATGAATGTGTTCTAATATTTTAATACTTCAGGAAGTTTTTTGTAAACAAGTATGAACAACGTTTTGTGTGTATATATGTAAATAAAAAGGATATATAATATTGCATGGCTAGTTCACTTTTCAACAACAAGCTAAGTAAAACACCCTCCAATGCACTGCATAATATAAATACAGTAACCTCAGTATACCTATGCAAATAAACACATACTGTACTGTGACCGCGGCTTGATATTGGCGTAATGCTTAGTCCCACCAGATGTTGCCAGCAGAAGAAAAGGGATCCACATCCCTTTTTTTTAAGCAGTCCCCAGTAGGAATCGTTGAAGAAATAATAATGGAAATAAATAACTAAGAAGAAAATGACTCATGTTCAGTAGACATGGCAACAACTACCGGCCAAGTCCCCTTCTCAAACCCAGTTAGCTTTAAAGGGTGTTGCCACTGAGTATCAGATTGTTTTTCATGAGCCCATGATATTCATACCTTTCAATTCAAGCTTCCTATATGTCTTTCACATATAGCACGTTGCTTTATAGTTTCGAATGGCATTTACTTGATTTTCTTCCTCCGTCATAGGGCGCCCTCAGTGGGCCTGACTCCGGTGGATCCAGTTGCTTGGTGTCGCTGGATTCATAGAGACACGGTTGGCTTCGAAAAACCTGATCTTGCTACTACGGCTCTTGATATTCCCTCAGATTAAAAGTGTAATTATGACGCTACAAATGGTCTATGAGGTCTCCTTTATTAATATTTGCGTGATGCAAGGCCTTAGCCAATATTTCCGAATCAACTCCGAAACACTATTCGAACACATTATGAAAATTTATCCGTTCTGAAAGTTTTGAAAAGAACAAGATACCAATATTTCCGAATCAACTCCGAAACACTATTCGAACACACTATGAAGATTCATGGTTCTGAAAGTTTTCAAAAGAACAAGTACCAATATTTCCGAATCAACTCCTAGCGATCGTTATGATTCTCTTCTATTCCCGAGGAAAGATACAATTTTCAGCGAGTGTACATACCTTTAAGAATCATGCATGACACCACATGAAGATCTGTGCCTGTGTTTGTCCATACGTGCGTGTGTGTGTGTGTGTGTGTGTGCGTACGTGCGTGTATGCGTACGTGCGCATATGTCTGTGTACGGATACTTTTATATATGGCAAGGAACATGTTAGGCCTTGAGTAAGTATGTGAATATTATGTAGTTGTGTTCAATAAGATACGTAACTTCTTTGTAACTGGAGTGTTAGGAAGATAAGGAGGTAGCACCGCATACAAGACCTGTTGTAGGAAGAGAAAAGCCAATATCTGCTAAATTCAAAGTAAAATTGCCTTTTTTTCTCCCATACACACATACACAAGGTCTGTACATATCTTCCTACTGTTTGCTATAAGTGTGTGCTTATGTATGTGTGTTAGTATAGGTGTGTTTAGGGGGGTAGATACGTTCATACACAAACGCATACACATGCATGTATATATAAACGTACGGTTACATGCATATTTTTGTAAAACCATATTTATACAATATATTCTCTAGGAATATATACTTCGAAGACATTCACTCTCAGATGCATAAAAGTGGAAGTTGCCAAACTGTGGAAAGTTGGAACTGAATGGAAGTCGCCAGGGTTCGTTTAACACGAGCGAAGGAAAACCAGACAGGGAATGCTTTTCCTAAAGCGAGGCATTGGAAACTGGCGTAAAAAAAAAAAAAAAAAAAAAAAAAAAAAAAAAGGAAAATGACTGAGGTATTGGAGAGGAAGAGAGATAGATAGAGAGAGAGAGAAAGAAAGAAAGAAAGAGAGACTCCGGAAGAAAGTGTCAGGCAGTGAATATTTCCGGAGAATGTAAATGAGATACTAGGAGAAAACAAGGGGATAATGAGGAGAGATATGTAGTATGAGGAATGATAATGAGATAAAGTGCCATATAAATGGATTAAGGAGGAAAATACCAGAGAATATTGACGCTAGCAGATACATACATACAGGTATATATGTATATATATGTCCTTGTGTGTGTACGTTCTCACACACACACGCACATAAACTCAGAATGATACTAATCAGTAAAGGAAGATTGAAAATATATTCTTTTCACAATTTAAATTATCAAAGTACGTTATTTTTTTCGTTTTTTTTTTCTTTTCTTTTTTTCCCCTCTGAACATAACCCTACTACTCTCTGCCACCCCCCTCGCCCCCTTACGAAATAGCCACGTGGACCGAGCACACCATGAGTGTTCCGTCAACAAACCTCATTACTGGACAAACCCCACACCCCCCAAAAAACACCACAGCTGTTTCTGGAATTCCATCTTATTGCCAAAAACTCTAAATGATTGTGGTTTGTTGTTGTCGTGTGTGCGTACGTGCGTGTATGCGTAGTGCGCATATGTCTGGTACGGATACTTTTATATATGGCAAGGAACATGTTAGGCCTTGAGTAAGTATGTGAATATTATGTAGTTGTGTTCAATAAGATACGTAACTTCTTTGTAACTGGAGTGTTAGGAAGATAAGGAGGTAGCACCGCATACAAGACCTGTTGTAGGAAGAGAAAAGCCAATATCTGCTAAATTCAAAGTAAAATTGCCTTTTTTTCTCCCATACACACATACACAAGGTCTGTACATATCTTCCTACTGTTTGCTATAAGTGTGTGCTTATGTATGTGTGTTAGTATAGGTGTGTTTAGGGGGGTAGATACGTTCATACACAAACGCATACACATGCATGTATATATAAACGTACGGTTACATGCATATTTTTGTAAAACCATATTTATACAATATATTCTCTAGGAATATATACTTCGAAGACATTCACTCTCAGATGCATAAAAGTGGAAGTTGCCAAACTGTGGAAAGTTGGAACTGAATGGAAGTCGCCAGGGTTCGTTTAACACGAGCGAAGGAAAACCAGACAGGGAATGCTTTTCCTAAAGCGAGGCATTGGAAACTGGCGTAAAAAAAAAAAAAAAGGAAAATGACTGAGGTATTGGAGAGGAAGAGAGATAGATAGAGAGAGAGAGAAAGAAAGAAAGAAAGAGAGACTCCGGAAGAAAGTGTCAGGCAGTGAATATTTCCGGAGAATGTAAATGAGATACTAGGAGAAAACAAGGGGATAATGAGGAGAGATATGTAGTATGAGGAATGATAATGAGATAAAGTGCCATATAAATGGATTAAGGAGGAAAATACCAGAGAATATTGACGCTAGCAGATACATACATACAGGTATATATGTATATATATGTCCTTGTGTGTGTACGTTCTCACACACACACGCACATAAACTCAGAATGATACTAATCAGTAAAGGAAGATTGAAAATATATTCTTTTCACAATTTAAATTATCAAAGTACGTTATTTTTTTCGTTTTTTTTCTTTTCTTTTTTTCCCCTCTGAACATAACCCTACTACTCTCTGCCACCCCCCTCGCCCCCTTACGAAATAGCCACGTGGACCGAGCACACCATGAGTGTTCCGTCAACAAACCTCATTACTGGACAAACACACACACACGCTGTTTCACTGGAATTCCTATCTTATTTGCAAACTCTAAATTGCTTGTTTGTTTGTTTGTTTGTTTGTTTTTTTTGGGGGGGGAATTCGTTGTGGAAAGTTTGCAACGGATTGGAACATAGGGAGAGAGGGGAGGAGGGATTGGGAAAGGGAGGGAAGGAAGGAGGAGGAGAGGAAGAGGGAGGGAGGGAGGCTTGTCTTTTTTGTCTAGGTACCGCTGTTAGAATTTGTGTTGTATATTTTACTTTTACTTATAATATATAAAATTCAAACAATTAGATCATCTTATCAACAGAATTACTAGACTCTGCCCCCTCCCCCCCACCCACCAGTACTAAGAACCCCCCCCCAGCGAATCTCTTAAGCCTCCCTTATCGAAAATCCGCTGATAATCTAACACGTTGCGATGAGCGTGACTTGACAAAAATGAAAGTTCGACTTGAAGCAGTATGGCAGATTATTATATTCAGGAATTTGATAACTATGATCTGATAAGAAAAAGAATTTTGTATATACTGGGAGCAATTTTACCTTCTTTAAGGAGTATGATGATGTATCAATTTATGTGTGTATGTGTATATATATATATATATATATATATATATATAGATATATATATATATAGATATATATATATATATATCTATATATATATATATAGATATATATAATATATCAGATATATATAACATCATCATATATCTAGATATATATATATATATATATATATATATTAAATATATATATAATTATATATATATATAGATATATATATATATATTATATATATATATATCTATATATATATATATTATATATATATATATAGATATATATATATATGGGGGAAAAGGTGGGGGTGGGGGGGGGTAGAGGTAGGGGGGGAGGGGGGGAGTAGAAAGACCATATCTTAAGAGGAAAGAGGACGCGAAGGAGAAGTATATCGTGGGTTAAGGAGAGTATATCGTATGGTACGTCACTAACAACCTTTTTAGGGGGGGGGGAGGTCATTTTCATTTATTTTCATCTTTTTATTTCATGTATCTTGTTTTATAAATATTTTCCTTCATTTTCTTTTCTTTTTTTTATTATTGTTTTATTTGCTTTCACTCTTTTTTCGTGGTCAATATAATTTCTTGTTATGGAAAACTGCAACTTCAGTAATTTATTATGTGAAGTTGTACTATACACTATGTAACAATTTTCTTAATATATGCCACGTGATTAAATTATGCATCACGGTCTCGCTTTACAGCAATTAATATTTTTAATGAAGTTTTTTGGGTTTGTAGAGTTTCAATTAATCCAAAGAAT